TCGTTCCCCTAATCGTGGCTCCATAGGGTATGGAGCCACGATCTTCGTGATGGGTGGAGCTCCCTATGGACCATGGGAGGCTCCACCGAAGGCCCCAGTGGCTGCGTTCGCATGGCGGCACCGCACCAATTTCGGTACACCTTTCATGAGGATCGTGGCTCCATGGGGAGCTCCACCGAAGGCCCCAGTGGTTGCGTTCGCATGGCGGCACCGCGCTAATGTCGGCACACACTTCACGAGGATCGTGGCAACGTTCGCACGGCACGGTGGGCCCATTTCGGCACACCGTTCACACGCTTCATGGCCCCATCAAGAGATCCACCGAAGGCGATACTCATAACGACGGTACTCGCAACTGAATATGGATGGATCCTTCGCTAGGTTAATTTGTATGTGTGTTTGCATTGCTTAGTGCAGCTTTGCACTGCTTTCCACTGCTTTGTATTGCTTTGCGATGCTTTGCGTTAATTCGAATTGCGTTGCATTGCTTTGCATGGGTTAGCATTGTTTTACATTGTTGTGATTTGCTTTGCATTGTTTTGCATTGAGGTGTATTGCTTTTCATTGCTTTGCATTGCTTTGCATTAGTTCGCATTGCTTTGCATTGTGTTGCATTGTGATGCATTGCTTTGCATCGCTTGGCATTGCTTTGCATGGCTTTGCAGAGTTTTGCACTGCTCGGCACTGCTTTGCGCTGCTTCGTATTGCTCTGCACTGACTTGCACTGCCTTGCACTGTTTTTTTGCTTGGCATGGCTTAGCATTATTTTGCATTGTTTGGCACTGCTTTGCGTTGCCCGGCATTTCTCTGCATTGTTTTGTATTATTGTGCATTGCTCTGCGTTGCTTTGCATTGCTTTGCATTGTTTTGCATTGCTTTGCATTGCTTTGCATTGCTTTGCATTGCTCTGCATCGCATTGCATTGCTTTGCATTGCTTTGCATTGCTGTGCGCCACATCGATTTTACCACACGGATTGCACCAACGATATTGCATTATTTTGATTGCACCACCTAGAACATAACGCATAGGCTTCAAGAAATTACTGTCTGGGGTTCGCACGCTAACACTACATTCTGGCGACCATATCGGCGGCACGACCGCTGCGACATGGTCATCATATTGCTAGCTCATGTTTCGTCTCACCTCTTGGCGTCATCAACACGTCTCGCCCATGGCCTATGCATCGGGAGGTCAGGATCTACAGTTGAGCTTGATCAGTAGGTCGACCATGCCAAATCGAGGGTACCCTTGTGTCCTGCCGATCCCGACCCATGCAAACCGCATTCCTTAGGTATTCTGGGGCCATGCTACCGTCGGATGAGTATTGTGTCCTCTCGCGTGTCCTCTCCAATCAAGCCTGACTGTATCTGTACCATGGCCCACAGGAAAGCTCACTCAGATGCGCCAGCAGTGCTGTAAGCTTTCGGTGATACTGCCGCTCCTTCGCAGTTTGAGATCCCTCCTCGCTCCTCGCTCACTCCCTCCCTCTTCCCTGCTCCCTCCTCCCTGTTCCCTCCTTCCCTCTCTCTCTTCCCCCTCCCTCCCTCCCTGCTCCTTCCCCCTGCGCGCACGCTGCTAGGCTGAGAATACCTTTCGCTCGCCCAATCCCTGCTTCCCTCCCTCCCTCCCTCCCTCCCTCCCTCCCTCCTCCTCCTCCTCCTCCTGCTGCTGCTGCTCCTCCTCCTCCTCCTCCTCCTCCTCCCTTGACCTTCCTCCTCCCGCCTCATGGCCAGGCAAGCTCCTGATGTCCATAGCGGAGCTGCACGAAGCGGAGCGGCTGCAGCCGAAGCAGGTGAAGGCCGGCGTGCTTCCAGGGAGGTGGCCAGCAGCGAGCGAGGGGGGACTAGCGCCTAATGACGGCACGATGATTGTGCCTGCGCATCCTCTTCCCTCCTCTCTCGCGCTGGGGTTTGGAAGATGCCCTGCTGCGCGGGGGACAGGGTCAGCGGGGTCAGCCTGGTACGAGACCCCTCCCTATCAGAGTGTGTGTGTGTGTGTGTGTTTTAGACTGGGTAGGGGTTTGGAAGGGGGGGGGCGAGGGCGCACCTTTTTGAGAAGACCGCCCACTTCTGAGGCGCCTACCCCTCAAGCTGATCCCCCGAACTCGCCCCCAACGGGCGCCCGTGGGCCTGATCATTTGGGACAGGGCGACGATCGAGCGGCAAAAGAGCCCAGAGGGTACATATGATACGCAGGAGAAGGATGAGGGCCCGGAGCAGCAGGAGGAGAACACGGAGCAGGAAGGGCGTGGTGAGGGAGGGAGGAGATGGGGGGGGAGTGAGTCAGGGAGGGGGGATGGTCTCCTGATCTTGAGGGCACACTGCAAGCTGCACTGTAGGCATGTCTGTGTGGGAGCGGGGCGAGCAGGAAGAGCCCGGCTCAGACAAGGGCCGCGGGCCGCCAAGGATTTTTACAAGCGTGCCAGCGAGATGTTCGAGCTGGACGACCACGGCAAGTCCAATTTCACTAAGTGCAACCTCAAGGTGGCCGAGTACGCTGCCAAGGATGGCCCGTGGGTGCTGGTCCAATTTCGAAGTGCGGTTGTCTGACGGGCTTGTGCAGGAGGCCGAGAAGTGCGCTTCGCGCTGCGGTTGGGCTTCTGGGTCTCGAGGTCGCTACGTTCCCCTGTGTCAGTTGTGTCAGTCTGCCAGTTTTGCACCACTCAATCCGATTGAAACTGATGCTTTTTTTTCTCCCTCTTTCCTCTCCATCTTCCCGAGCCGTTCTGGCTCAGGCCTTTCTGAGCTTGGCCCCGCGACCTTCAGAACGGCACTGCACGACTGAGTTTGTTTTGGTATCGGAAAACATGTTTCAGAGAATGGCGCAATGCCTGCGGCCTCGTGGACGGAGTCTCGTCCCCCGTACCGCAGACAAATGCGGCGCTGTGGCTGCGGTTGCGCCAGAACTCTCACGAGCTGATGACTGTGCAAGCACTGCAAGCAGGTCTGGTCCTCCAAGACGTGCAAGCTGGTCAATCCGCCTCGCCATCTTGCTGACTGGTGCTGACGTCGAGGTGGTGTGAGCGAGGGAAGAGGATATGATGGAGGGATCGGAGGTGAGGGGGTGAGATCGCAGTGAAACGGAGAGCCTCCCACTGGGAAAACGGTTTCGGTTTCGTGTTCGTGTCGTGCGTGTGGGCGAGATGAAGCTGCGTGGGCGGGCGAGAGGAATGGACCCTCCTCTGGCTAGGGCGCCGCCGGGCCAAAAGACAAAAGAAAGGGGGGTTTGTCCGGCGGTGGCCCGGGGTGTCCCGCCGTGGTGTCCCGCCGGTACCCCGTTGGTGTCCCGTCAGTGTCCCATCGGTGTTCCGTCGGTGTCCCGTCGGTGCGTCGGTGTCCCGTCGGTGTCCCGTCGGTATCCCGTCGGTGTCCCGTAGTGAGATCTATAGCTAGTGAGATCGATAGTGAGATCGATATTGAGATCGATAGTGAGATCGATTATTGAGGTCGACAGTGTGATCGATAGTGAGATCGATCGTGATATTGATGGTCAGATCGACAGTATGATCGATCGTGATATCGATAGTGACATCGACAGTGAATTCGATAATGATATCAATAGTGAGACCGATAGCGAGATCGATAATGGGAGGGATAGTGAGATCGATAGTGAGATCGATAGTGAGATCGATAGTGAGAGCGAGAGTGAGATCGACGGTGAGATCGATAGTGGGATCGATAGGAAAGAGCGCGTTCTGTGGTCGCTTGGAGGGGTGGGGGGGGCGGTTGAAACCGGCTCCCCCCCCCCCTGGATGGAGGGGGGGGGACGTAGGAACCCCTCCTCCCCCCTTGACGGAGGGGGGGGGTTCGAACCCCCCCTCCCTCCCCCATTTCCTCCTCCCCTACTTCCCCTCCTCTCCTCGGGCCGGCGCTTGCGTCGGCGGCGGCTGGCGGCGGCGGCGGGGACGACCATTTCCTTTTCTGGGCCGGCGCCCGCGCCTGCGGCGGCGGGCGGCGGCGGCGGGGAGCGTCGACGAGGACGACGGTGGTGGTGGTGGTGGTGGTGGTGGGTTGTGGTGGTGTGGTGGAGGTGGTGGCGGTTTGGTGGTGGTGGTGGTGTGTGGTGGTCTGTTGTGTGGTGGTGGTGGTTGTGGGGTGGGTGGTGTGTGTGGTTTTGTGGTGGTGTTGTGGTGGTTTGTGGTGGTGGTGTTGTGGGTTGTGGTGTGGTGTGGAGGTGGTGGCGGTGTGGTGGTGGTGGTGGTGGTGGTCTGTTGTGGTGGTGGTGGTGGTTGTGGTGGTTGTGGTGGTGGTGGTGGTGTGGTGGTGGTGGTTTGGTGGTGTAGTGTGGTGGTGTTTGGGTGGTGGTGGTGGTGGTTGTGGTGGTGGTGGTTTGGTGGCGGTGTGGTGGTGGTTTGTGGTGGTGGTGGTGTTGGTGGTGGTGGGTTGTGGTGGTGGCGGTGGTTTGTGGAGGTGGTGCTGGTGGTGGTGGTGGTTGTTTGTGGTGGTGGCGGTGGGTTGTGCTGCTAGTAGTGGTGGTGGTTGTGGCGATGGTGGTGGTGGTGGTGTGGTAGATTGTGTTGGTGGTAGTGGTGGTGGGTTTTTGTGGTGGTGGTGGTGATGGTGATGGTGAGTTGTGGTGGTGATGGTTGTGGTGGTGTGGTGGTGGTGGTGGTGGTGCTGGTTTGTGGTGGTGGTGGGTTGTGGTGGTGGCGGTGGTTTGTGGACGTGGTGCTGGTGGTGGTGGTGGTGGCGGTGGTAGTGTGGTGGTTTGTGGTGGTGGCGGTGGGCTGAGCTGTTAGTAGTGGTGGTGGTTGTGGCGGTGGTGGTGGTGGTGGTGGTGCGGTAGATTGTGGTGGTGGTGGTAGTGGTGGTGGTTTGTGGTGGTGGTGGTGGTGGTGGTGGTGGTTGTGTGGTGAGTTGGTGGTGGTGGTTGTGCTGATGGTGGTGGCTGTGGTGGTGGTGGTGGTTGTGTGGTGGGTTGGTGGTGGTGGTGGTGGTGGGTTGAGGCGGTGGTAGTGGTGGTAGTGCTGGCGGTGGCGGTAGTGGTGGTAATCGTCGCTGCGTCTCCGCCGTCGCCGGCGTCAGCGCCGGCGCTGCTGGACGCCGCCAGCGCCGGCGCCGGCGCCATGGGGAGGGGGGTTGAAACCCCCTCCCCCTCCCGGTGCCGGGGAGGGGGGAGCGGGGGGGGGTTCGAGCCCCCTCCCCTTTGGGCTGCCTCTGGTCATCGTCGCTGCGTCCCCGCCGTCGGCGATGCTGTCGGCCGCCAGCGCCGGCACCAGCGCCAGGGGGGTGTGGGGGGTTTCGGGAGGGGTGGGGTTTGGGGGGGAGGGGAGCCCCCCTGGTTTTGATCGACGGCGCCGAGTGTTGAGGGGGGGGGGCCCACCCGGCGGAGGCGGAGGCGGAAGCGGAGGCGGCGGCGGCGGTGGCGGCGGCGGCGGCGGCGGAGGAGGAGGAGGAGGAGGAGGAGGAGGAGGCGGAGGCGGAGGCGGAGGCGGAGGCGGAGGCGGAAGCGGGGCCAAATTCGATCTTATCGATCCGATTCGATTTCGATGGCTTCTGGCCCATTCCGATTCGATTCCGCTATTCCGACGGTCCGATGCGGCCCGATGCTTGTGGCGCTGTTCAGCATCCCTGCGCTGCCGTGAGGCTCAGGGGGAGGGGGAGCGTCGTCCTCCAACCACGCCCACTCCTCGCCGATCGGGGGCCTGGGGCCCTTCCCCGCCCTGGAGCGTGCGGCTTCGCTGTCGGGGGCCTCTCGCTGATCTATCGGCGATGGGGCGCCGATTCCAGATGTGCAGGGGCATGCGGCATGCGGTGTGGGAGGCAGGCCTTCCTTTTAGACGCTGTCCGGTGTAGGTGGGCAGTGGCAATCGCGTCTGTTTGGGCCTCGTTTGCTGCTGTTGCTGTTGCCAGGCAACCTAGACATCCGACGTCTCGATTTTTCGACACTGACCCCCGACCTCCCCACCACTACCCCGGGACCGGTTTTGTATCCCGAGTCGTTTTTCGACGATCCCGGGGCCAGGTCCCGAGAGGCCGAAAACGACGAAAACTACCGTCGCGATTTTTCCGAGATGCCCGATGTCTAGAAATGTGTCAGGGATCACTGGTCCTAAACATACCCTTACCCGGAGTCGGCCTGGGTGAAAGAAACCGTCCGCTGGATTGGGCGCTTGCCACTGCGCCCGATCAGCTTGCCGCGTGCGCGCTGTTTCAGCATCCGCGCGTCAGGACGCAACGACACGCTGAACGACTGGTTGTTTGATTGCAGCGACATGCCCTGTGTTGCGTCAGGGACGTCTGGGGGCATCGGGGGTGTCCGCGGGGTTTAGAACAGCATTGGAGTGGTTGTGCCTGTCCCATGTGGGGACAGGCACCACCGCTCCGTTGCGTTTGGGCCTGCTTGCAGGAGCGTCGTTGCAATCTCACGCTCCCCCGGGGGCCGCTGCGGCCGCGTTCGGGAGCGCTCTCGGGGGCCGCGCGTGCGCCCGCGAGCGATTTCGACCAAACGCCACCTCGACTACGTGCGGGTGCGTGTCCGGGGACACCATCAATGCGCGTCGGCGACTTTGCCCCCCGACACGTACCTGGACCTAGCTGGGGTGACGCCGGGCGGGTTTTCCAGGGACAAGCCCTTGGCGACCGCGCCTGGCGTTCGGGGCCCCAGGCGTTTGGGGCGAACGCAGGGTTGGAGCGGCGCCCGCCCAGAACACCCAGGACGCATTTTGCGCGTCGAGCCTCAAACGTTTGAATGCGCGCCTTTGTGGGCGAACTTCCGAACGAGCTACTCTAGCCCGAGAGCGACCAATGCGTGGTCGGCCATTCTGCCGATTGGGACGCGCGCGCCTTCGGTGCCAGCGGATGCCTGGAGAAGACAGCGTCCTGTAATTTTCCATGGGCCGTCGCATCTGCATTTGTGCAACCGCCGTCGGCTGCGGCGTGTCGCTCCCCCCGCCCCTTGCCACCCCGCCTGGGTGAGGGTACGGGTATCTTTCGCGTTCGAGAAGGGAGTACGCAAACGCGAAGCCCTTCGGCTAACAACATAACGTCCCGCCGCCGCACAGCCGCGCAGGACGGCGAGCTGGACGAGGCCATCCGGATATTCGAATTCGAGGGAGAGAAGGCGCCGCCTCTTCCTCCTCCTCGTCCTCCTCCTCGTCCTCCTCTTCCTCCTCCTCCTCCTCCTCGTCCTCGCCCTCCCTGCCCTCACTCCATTCCCTGTCCTTATAAACAATTCCATTCCTTTTTCCTTCTCCTATATATATATCCTTTCCCTTGTCCTTTCTCATTGTCCTCACTCCATTCCTTGGGCTCCCTCCTTGTTGTCATCCTCCTCCTCCATTCCCTTTCTTTATAAATAATTTCTCCCTGTCGCATCCCGAGGCCGGTCGAAAAATGGCGGGCCTAGCGTTTCGCCTGAGAGCTCTTCACCATGTGCGATCTTGACGTTTCGCAAATGGAAGGCGGGTGGTTTTCACTTGGCAACCGTTTCACAGGTGGAGAGCGGGTGGTTTCTAACATGTGCTTCTCGCTGCAGCGCCGCGCGCATTCGGCTTAACCACATGCAGACCTTTTTCGAATTTAAGTCGGGCCGTTTTCGAAATGCGGCTCTCGCCTTAGCGCCGCGCGCACTCGTCTTAACAAGTTGCACTAGTTTCGCGGATTGACTGGGGCGGTTTTCAAAATGTGACTCTCGCCTTAGTGCCTCGCGCATTCGTCTCAAACAAGTTTCAATAGTTTCAGGGATTGAGGGCGGGCCGTATTCGAACTGTGGCTGTCGGGTACGCGCCGCGCGCGCTCGTCCTTCAGATTTGCAAGAGCTTCACGGATTGAGTTTTTTGTTGTAAAAATGTGGTTATAGTTTTTGTTAATATATATATACATATATATATATATATATATATATATATATATATATATATATATAAAAATAAACGCGGCGCACATTCCTTTTGAATTCGTGCATCAATTTCACGGATTCGCATGGTTAACGCACCAGAAGTGTGTTTTTTTATATAAAAATCAGGGTTGTCAAGGCGCAGCAGTTATGTTAATTCGCGGTGTTGAAGTCCCAGGAGTTGTGATTTGCCACGGTTCAGGATCGTCACGCCGTAACAGTCAGTTTGATTTGCGACGGTGGATTCCCGAAAATGGTGTTTTGGCACGCTTCAGGATCTTCAAACGGTTGTCTTCCAACGGGGCACTTCCCTTAGTGGAAATGAGTTCTTGTAACCTTCATTCACTGCAGAGAGAGCTTGGAGGGAGGATGTATTCCAACGCCGTTGACGAGTCCTGGGTTTACACTGGTCATTCCTCCTCCTCCTCCTTTTCCTCCTCCCTCCTCGTGCCACATCGTGGTTACCGGCTGATTCCACCAAATTGTTACCCTTCGTTTTCCCTCATTGTCCTCACTCCCCATCGTCTCTTTCCTCTCCTCTCTCTGCCTCCTCATCCCTCCCTCCATCCTCTCTCCCTCCCTGCACCCTCCTTCCTTCCCTCCCTCCGTCCCTCCCTGCCCCTCCTCCTCCTCCTCCTCCTCCGTCCCGAGGAACCACCTTGCCGGAGACCCTAGGCACGAAGGGTCGGGTGGGAGAGGTTAGGGTGGTACGGTCGAAGCACAATCCTCCCCCCAGCTTGTGTGCACAGGCCACCCTACCACCCGATGCAAACGGTTCGGCCAAACATTTCCAACCTGTCGAAGTCCAGGATCGACCATGTTGGAAAGGGGTAGGGGGAGTTTGACCCCATTGCCCACACCAGGGGCATTGATCCCCTGGTCAGGGGGGTGGTTAGGGCACTTCCCCCTTGGCCCTGAGAGACCCCCACTCGTGGGATAACCACCCCGAGGTGCGCCGCTGAGGTGCCCGGACCAGGGGCGCTGCCCCACAGGTCAGGGGGGTCGTTAGGGCTGTTCCCCTTTGGCCCTAAGAGACCCCCCCCTATCAGGGGCCCCCCCGACCCGGACCTACGAGGGCCTCTTTCTTGTGCGGAGGTGCGCCGCGGAGGCGCCTGGACAAAGGGCGCTGCCCCACAGGTCAGGGGGGGGTCGTTAGGGCTGTTCCCGCTTGGCCCTAAGAGGCACTCCATTGGTGGGATTTGTTGCCTTGTGGCCCTAAGGTACCCATTGTTCGGGCCCCCCCGCCCCAGGCCTCCGAGTACCCTTATTCTGTTGAGTAGGTGCGCCGCGTTGGCGCCTGGACCAGGGGCGCTGCCTCACAGGTCAGGGGGGGTCGTTAGGGCTGTTCCCTCTTGGGCTTAAGAGGTCCTCCATTCGTGGGATCACCACCCCGAGGTGCGCCGCCGAGGCGCCCAGAGCAGGGGCGCTGCCCCCAGGTCAGGGAGGTCTTTAAGGGCTTTTCCCCCTTGGCCCTAAGAGACCCCCCATCAGGGGCCTTCGAGGGCCCCTACTCTGTTGAGGAGGTGCGCCGCGGAGGCGCCTGGACGAGGGGCGCTGCCCCACAGGTCAGGGGGGGTCGTAAGGGCTGTTCCCTCTTGGCGGCGCGCTCCGCGCGCCAGGGAGGGGGTCCAGCGCCGATCCGAGAAATCCGCGCGGTCCTCAGAGTTTTTGAATATTTTTTGATTATCTTCAATTTATCGTCCCAAATCCACCTGTAGGGGGACATGCCCGACCTAAGGCTATGGATGAGGTAGAAGAGCAACAGGCATCGGCCCGTGATGCCCCGGGTGCCGCGGCACCGGGGGCGCGGCCGCCCAGCCCGTCAAGACCCCAGGCCTCGCGACCGCTCCAGGCACCACTTGGACCCCCCCCCCCAGGGCTCGTTTCGATTCCTCTTGTTCGAACCGATTCGATTTCGGTGGCTCCCGATTCCGATTCGACTCGACGTCGGATTCCGATCCGAGCTCTGGTTTCGCAATGGGGACTTACTGGCCTGCCGATCTCCGTCGATCTGACTTTTCCCGGCTCGGCTGCCGATCTCCGCCGGTCCGGCTCGTTTCGATCGCCGATCCGACTCACCGATGAGATTCCAGGTTCTCCTGCCCCCTCACATCTGGCGTGATGGGCCTGTTTTCCACCACCACCACCATAAGTTGGAGGGGGAGGGGGTCCTCTTCGTCCTCCTCCTCCTCCTCCTCGTCGTCCTCCTCGTCCTCCTCCTCCACCTCCTTCCCCCCTCCAACTTATGATGCTGCTGGTGGAAAACAGGTCCATAATGGCGGGTCTTGTCACGTCTGCTGCACGTGATGCTTTAATCCTCGTTGAGGTTGCGACTGGTGATGTTTTGCTTGTGCTTGCGGCTGTCGCTGTGTCTGTTCGGACATCGACTCTGGTCGCAGCGCCGGGGATGGTAAGGCTCACGCACGTCTTGCACTGCGCTGCGAAAGTGCATGTGCGGTCGGTGTGAGTGTGGACCGCACCGGCCGTGGGCATGAGATGCGGCGAATCGTCAATATGTATGTTGTGTCGTATCGTCTTCCATGATCTATTGCAACGGTCTTCGCATCACCACTTGTTGCCCTCGCAACTTGCTGTACCAGACGTTTTGGGCAAATGCGAGATTCCGTCGAAGCACCCATGCGCAGAAGTATTCGCTTTGTTTTATGCCGAGGCTGTTCCTACCGTTATTATTTGCTGTCGATGTGTTGTTGTTTGCGTTGCGGCAGCTGCTGATGTTACGGTCGTGCTAGTAGTTCTTGGTGTCGTTGCCGTCGTGCTTGTAATTGTTGGTGTCGTTGCCGTCGTTTTTGCTGATTGGCCAGAGATTCTGAACGCAGCATCGGGGCATTTTTCACTGCGATCCGAAAGCGCACGTGCGGTCGTGTGGAGCAAGCCGCCCGTGGGTCGGGTGTGTGGCGAAATTTCAATATTCCTGCGGTGCCTCGCTGTGCTGCATGGCATAGCGCAAATGTATGCTTATTACCACGTGTTGTCCTCGATATTCGCTGTATTAGCACTTCCCCGCGATCGCGGAACTTATTTGAGACAGCAGTGCGCAGGGGCACCCGCTCTGTTCAGGTCGGGGGCTGCTCGTGTCATTGCTTGTGATGCTGATGTGTTATTGTCGGTGTTGCAGCAGCTGCTGATCTTGCGGTCGTGCTGGTGGTTGTTGGTTTCGGGGTTGGTGTAGTTGGTGATGATGATGATGATGATGCTGTTGTTGTTGCTGCTGCTGTTGTTGTTGCTGTTGTTGTTGTTGTTGTTGTTGCTGTTGTTGTTGCTGTTGTTGTTGTCGTTGTTGTTGAACTCTCACTTCTGAATAATAGTTATTGTTGATCACCCCTCAACAGTGCATACTGTTTTTTTCAATTGAAGTGCCCCTCCCGGCGCTCGCACCCTGTTTTTTTATCAGGGAAAGTTTTGAAGCTCAAACTGTGCCCCTGGCACAACAACAACGGCTCCCGCTTGAGACTTCCCCACAAATTAGCCAGGACCCCCGCTCCCGCCTGAGTCTTCCTCGCATTTTATTCAGGAGTTGCGCTCTCGCTTGGGACTTCTCACAATTTATTTAGAAATCGCTCTCTCGGCGCTCTGGAGTCGCGCTCTCGTTGGAGACGTGCTTGCAATTTACTCAAGAATAGCGCCCTTGCGTTGGAATTTCCCGCAATTTATTCAAGCTCCGCGCTCCCGACACTCGGGCGCTCAGGAGTCGCGCTCACGCCTATGACTCCCTCACACATTATTTAGGAATCGGGTGCAGCCCTTCGTTGCCCCCTCGCTGCCCTTCGTGGCCCCGTTGCAGCCTTCGTGGCCCCCTCGCTGCCCTTCGTGGCCCCGTTGCAGCCCCTCGTGGCCCCCTCGCTGCGCTTCGTGGCCCCATTGCAGCCCTTCTTGGCCCCCTCGCTGCGCTTCGTGTCCCCGTTGCAGCCCTTCGTGGCCCCCTCGCTGCGCTTCGTGGCCCCGTTGCAGCCTTTCGTGGCGCCCTTGCTGCCCGTCGTGGCCCCGTTGCAGCCTTTCGTGGCCCCGTCGCTGCCCTTCGTGGCCCCGTTGCAGCCCTTCGTGCCCCCCTCGCTGCCCTTCGTGGCCCCGTTGCAGCCCCTCGTGGCCCCCTCGCTGCGCTTCGTGGCCCCATGGCAGCCCTTCGTGGCCCCCTCGCTGCCCTTCGTGGTCCCAATTATGTATGCCCTTCGTGGCCCCCGCTCGTCCGCGCCCGTCGTGGCCCCATA